CCAGGAGGCGCAGGTGAGGAGGAAGGGAGTGCAGAGAGGGAGGGGAGGAGAAGGACCAGCCCCTCCGGGTCATCAGTGATCTTGCAGTAATTCCTGGCCTGCGGAATGGAGCGTCCTGGGCAGAAGGCCATGATCTAACATCGCACCTCGTCCGACGGCCGGCTTTCTGCAAAATTCATCGATCCAGTGGTTCAGAACTTAACACCTCTGCAGCCTCATAGATTTCGTGCACTCTGTACAAAACAGTCTGGGGCTCTTTTCTAACTAAAGATCTGCACCTCGGTGACAAAGATAGACCAGCGCGAGGCTCCTCTGAATGCGTTTCTCTGTCCTGGTGACAGCGCTGTCAGTAAGAACGACGCCTCCAGCCTTCTCCCCTGCACATGGGTGGGCCTCTGAGAGCCCGAACCCTGCTCAGCACTGACAACCTTTCACTGCGTTGAGAGGGAGAGAAGTGGGTGGAGGGGGAGAGAAAGTCAGAGAGAGAGAGAGAGAGAGAGAGAGCAAGTTGCCACCGTCGCCCCCTATGGCTGAGCACAGGGAGGCACAGTGAAGTAACCGGGCTCTGCAGTAATGAGCTGGAGGGGGGTTTCTGACCTCCCCCAGCAGCTCCCAGATCTCGCTGCGTCCAGTGGCATCACGGCCGTCTCATTAGGAGCCCGCAGACAGCCCACGGCTACATGCCATGTCACGCGGCAGCGAGCACACCTCGATCAAGGTGCTTGTCAGCGCTGCCTTCCGGCTGCGAGACAAACGAGAATGTTTGCTGTGTGGTCGAAAGATGGCCCGGTTTGGGCTCCTCATTTGTTTTGGATCCTGGGCACCAAAGAATATCTGATGAGCATGAGTGACCAGCGCGCAGACAGGTCTCATCCACTCAGTGGTGGCTGGCATGGGGACAGCGAGGGCCTCCGGGCCTTCCTGGCTGTCTGAATCCGTCCTTGTGCACCTGGGACTGGGAGGGTGGGTTTCCAGGAGAGGAAGGAGGCCTAACGTTTAGCCCTGGGACCCTGGCCCTGGCGAAGCTGGGAGCAGGGGCCCACATCAATGAGTGTCTCACTGTTGGAGGGTAGGGGTGCCAGCACAGGTTGTAGCTCTGGGACATGTGCCATCTGGCCTTGGGGAGCTGCCTGGATTCCCCAGCTGAGTCTGGTCACTTCCTTCCAAACTCCACATCCCTGACCCTTAATCATGTCTTCCCATCACAGTTACTGATGACTTAACATGCATTTCCGTCTGCAAGCTGTTTGAGGACAGGTCCATGTTTGAGTTGTTCTTTCCCCATAGAATATAGTCCAGAGCTTGGCACACAGCAGCAGTAGTGGTTGTGATGCCACTGAGGTGGTGGTGGTGGTGGTGGTGGTGGTGGTGGTGCTGATGTGATGATGGTGGTGATGAAGGTGATGCTGGCGGAGGTGATGAACACCTGCTCTGAGCCCGTGCTAAACTGGGCATTTTAATCTATATTCTCCCTAATCCTCACAACTGCTTTAAGAAAAAAAAATATTCTCTAAGTTTTGCAGGCGGTAAAAGTGAATCTCAGAGGTGAGTAGCGGCCCCAGCTGTGTAGGTCACACAGAGCTGAGCGGACGGGATCGGCCATCTCCAAACAAGCCTTTCCCCTCGCTGACACCTTCATTCGGCTAACAGGGCACGTGTGCGTGAGCAGACGCTGCCCGTCTTGTGTGAGTCAGGCCGGCGCGGAATGTACCCAGAGCAGTTCCGTGTCAGTGGGAAGATTTGGCAGCCATCCCCATGCACCCACGCACCGGACCACGCCACGGTGCCCGCCTGGATTCCTCTGACACACAGTGTGAAGAATTAATGTACCGGAAGCGTGCGGGCAATTAGCCAATTTTCATGCGTCTGGTTTGCTAATTTCCATATTTGGGCCACTACTGTCGTAACAATTAGTCACCATCACCTTGGGAAACCCGACATCATAGATTTGTCGAATTGAGGCTTTAAACCGTTTTCAAAATAGGGGGGTTGAAAATGAGTCAGCGCATTTCAAACTGAAAGCGGAGTCAAAGCGCAGCGGATGCCGCCCTCGGTGGGCTGTGCGCCCTGCTGCTCGAAGGGGGTGAGGTGAGCAGGTGGAATGAAAACGAAGCGACGCCCGGCCGGGGGGCTCAGCAGTCAGAGCGCCATCCAGGCACCGAGAGGTCGCCAGTGTGACTCCCGGTCAGGCACATGCCCGGGTGCGGGTTTGTTCCCTGGCTGGGACATGGACAGAGGGCAGCTGACCGATGTTTCTCCCTCTTCCTCTCACTCCCTGAGCACGTCCTCGGATGAGGAGTAAAAAGATCAACACCTACAATAGGAGGAGTAGCCACCAGCACTTCTGAGATAACACCCCCACTTCACAGGGCCTTGGACGTCAAACACCCCAAAGCACAGGCACCGGCCTTGCAGCATCCGAGGTGGGGTTCACACCAGCAGCCCTGCCCCAGAATCCTCTCTGTTCTCCTTCAAGATGGGAGCCGCACAGGGGAAGCAGCCATGGGAACCCTCTCCTCACCGCTCACCTTCCCAGCTCCCAGGCCTCTTGGTCAGGGGGCCACGCTCACCCCAAAGGCTGCCGTGAGCTCCTCGAGGAAGCCGCATGCAGGCACGGTTTGCAGAGGGCCAGGTGTGACCGGCGGGAACTGCTGTGTCCTTTCGTTCCAAGTCTCTGTTGTTTGTACCACCTGCCAAAAGGCTCTTTTCCCCTCTTTACCTCCATGTGGCTCGGAGCATGAGCCCCAAACAGATAGTCTGCCCCTGTCCTCCACACGGACTGCGTCCTGCCGTGGTGTGGGTGCTGCGTCCAGCCTGCTTGTCCGCGCCCGGAGCTCCAGGTGGCTCCAGTACAGGCCCTTGAGTAGAAGCTGCTGGGGGCCTGGTTTGTGGAAAAGGGCAGAGTCGCCGTGGGCCCGTTAATGAGGGGCCTGGACACGGCTCCCAGCCCTGCGTGTGACCTGACCAGGCGTTCCGAGACAGCCTTTCTAAACCGGCGTTGAGGCTGAGCCGGAGATTGACACCTGCACCCAATTTGTGGGAACGCTTGAGGGGATGTTTGTGGAGGAAACATTTCATATTTCTCTCTCGTGAACCTCAGTTTCTCTTCTCCAAAGGAAAAGCAGTGACCTCAGCACTTAGACAAAATAAACCACTTGGGTGACAGCTAACACCGCATCATTTCAGAAATGAGACAAGCCTACGATAGTGTCCAGTCTCCTCCTTTGACAGAAGAAGATTGAGACTCAAAAGGGTCAAGTGTGAGAATGGAAGCTGGAACCCACATCAACCCCATTTCCCGGCCTCCAGCTGGCTGCACCAGAAGCTGTCCTGGGAGGCTGGACCCGGATGTGTTTGACAACAGCCAGACAGACCGAGACACCTGTCTCCACGACTGACGGCTGCTGAGCGGATCCCACGGCTCCGGCCCTGTTGACTCCACAGTGACCGCGCGCCCCGGGGAGGCAGTGTGGGGAACACCAGTGGGCAAGGCTCTAGCGCGTGGCCACGGACCTGCGCCCAGTGAGAAGGCAGCTCTGAGGGTGCCCCTGAGGCGGCCGCTGCTCCTTCTCTGAGTCTCACGATCAAAATGACCATCTGTCCGTGCAGTTTGGATGGGGCTTCGTCAGAGGTATGAGGCCAAGATATCTTGTTTCTGTGTCTGTCCCAGAGGTGAGAACAACTCAGCCTTGGTTTCCCCCGTGAGAACCGGCCCCCGGGAAACGATGGCGTGTGTGAGGAGGAGACGGGGGGGAGGCGGAGAGAGGCTGTGTCGGCCAGTCACGGATGCGACATCATGTTTCATCATGAAACCAGACACAAGCCGTGTCCCTGGGGCAGAACATCGCTGTGAAGAGTAGTATCGGAAGGGGGTCTGCGTCATCAGTAAAGCCACTGCCTAGCGGCCGGACGGCTGCAGTAAGAGGATGGCCAAGTGGCAGGTGCAGCCGAGGGGTGGAACGATCGGAACCGGCACGCGTTGCTGGTGGGACGTGAAAGGTGCGGCCGTGCTGGGGACATGCCGGCAGCTCCTCGGTGAGTTAACCCAGCAGTTGCAACCTCGGGTCCACCCCAGAGAACTGGAAACACATGTCCACATAAAAACTTGTCCATGAGCCCTGGCCGGTGTGGCTCAGAGGTTAGAGTGTTGGCCTGTGCACAGAAGGGTTGTGGATTCAATATCCAGTCAAGGGCACAGACGTGGGTTGCAGGTTCCATCCCCGGCCCTGGTTGGGGCAAGTGCGGGAGGCAAACAATGGATGTGTCTCTCTCACATCGATGTCTCTCTCTCTCTCTCTCTCTCTCTCCCTTCCTCACTCCCTCCCACTCTCTCTGAAAAAATCAATGGAAAAAAATACCCTCGGGTGAAGATGAGCAAAAAGACTTGTCCATAGCAGCCTTATTCTTACTGGCCCCAACGTGGAAACAACGCAAATGTCCAACTGCTGACAAGTGGACAAGCAAAATGCGCTGTGTCCTTCACACAGGGGTTTCTCAGCCCTGACACGACATGATGCACCTGAGAACTGTGTACGTGAGCGAAGCCAGGCACACAGGCCCCCTGTTTAGGGTTCCACTTCGTGGGCTGTACCAAGCAGGCAGATCCGTGGATGAAAGTAGATTGGCAGTTGCCCAGGGCTGGCGGTGGGGTGGGGGGATGGGGGGAGGCGCCAAGGTTTCTGTTTGGGGTGATTCCAGTGTTCTGGGATCCGTGTGGTGGTGGAATGGTGTGTGGTGTTGGCACAACTCTGGCTGCACTAAGAACAACTGAACTGGGTCCATTTCAGGGCATGTGAATTATCTCAATAAAGCTGTTGTTGGGGGCCAGAGCAACCGTGAACGTAGACTGGAATTCGGACCACGGTCGTGCCTGGTGCCTATGACAGGTGCACGTCCCAGATACCTGGTGCTGGTTAGTGCCCTGAAAATCCAGACCAAGTGCCATTCTGCGCGTGAGTGGCCGGAGGCTCACCTGCTGCTGTTTCTTCTCCCCCTTGCAGGGTGAGGACCCACAGGCCGACAGCATGCTGACCTACGCCACCGCCGCCCGGGCCGAGCACCCCGAGGGCCACCCCCCGCAGACCCTCAGCCAGATCCAGCCCCAGGAGCTCGGCCCGAAGGGGGACGGCAGGGTGCAGAAGCGCACTCTGATCGGGAAGCTGATCGCCTACTTGGCCATGATGCCTGCCTCCCCCACCAAGGCCGGGCCCCTCACGCCCTACGAGCTCATGCGCATGCCTTGGAGAATCTCACGGAAACGGCTCTCACCCTCAGAAGATGCCAACGACCTCCCGGGCCCGGGCGATGGTGAGTCAGCCTCACTACCCCTCTGGAGATTCCGCGGCGGGCTCCAACTGTGTCTGTCCCCCCAGCACTGGCTCTGGAGGGCAGACGCCAGCTACTGCGAGAACAGCACCTTCCAGGTGCGTGATCTGCAGCCGCAGACAGGGAGGTGGTCGTGTCTCTGCCAGAGGCACTCAGCAGCTGGGACGGGGAGGAGGGGTCGCGCCCCAGTGATGCTTGAACCCCTTCTGCACAGCTAACCGTCTCTTGGCTTTACTGACGATGATGCAGAGGGTGGGGCCCTGGCCAGACCTGGCCCCGGACTGTGGGCTGCACGGTGCTCTGGACGGGGGACTCGAGTGTGTTCGCCTTGTCACACGCCTCCCCACGACTGTGACCACAGACTCATGCTTCTCCTGTCCCCAGAAGCACCCAGTCTGAGCCGAGTGCCGCTCACACGCGACGCGCACGCTTGTGGCTGACTCAGCTCTGTCCGAGAGAGGAGGGGGTGACTGGCCCCCACTCCTGTGAGGTGCAGACGGTGCTGAGCTTTCTCTCGCAGGCTTTTCTGAGACCGTGACTTACAAAGTGAAAGTCTGTGACTCAGCTTCTCCTCTGAGGACATGCAAACAGTAAAATCAAGCGGGTAACAGGTGTAAGCACACGGGCTGGGTTGCATCCACACAGCACTGTCTCCATGCTCTGCCCGCCGCTGCGTCCCCGCGAGGCGCTCTGCCCTTCCCTCTCCCTCGCAGCCGCGCCGGTGCCTCCAGGCGGAGGGAATGAGGCTGTAATGAGGGAAGGAGGGAGGCCATCGCTGGTGCTTTCTCCTGTGCATGTCCTGCAGGGGGAGGTGTGTGTCGCGCACCTGACTAGGGCTGTCGGCACGGACGTGCTCTGTCAGGGGTTGGCATGTCCACGGGGCCACTCCCGGGAGGAGCACCGTCCCGCCAGCATTTTTCCCTTTGGGGGCAGTTTTCTCCGTTTTAAACCACGTGCTGCTCTGGGACCCCTCCTGCCTCCTCATTCATCGCTGCCTTCACCTGCTCGGCAGGCCTTCCTGGGCCCTCGGGCGTTCTGGTCTTCCCCAGCGCAGCTCCCGCCTGGCCTGCCATAAACACGCTGCTGAAGGTCACCTTCACCACAGACGCCGAGGCCTCCGGGAGGAACCCGGGCCCTGTCCATGGTGCTGACCACCCCTCCCGCTCCTTTCTTCTGCACGTCTGGTGATGCCGGTCGTCCTGGCTTGAACCACCCTTCTCCTCCTCAGCCGTCCCCCATCCTCATTACTGGAGGAGGTCAATGCTGCTGTCCACCTGGTGTCAGGTCGAGATGACCTGCTCTGCATGCCTCTGCCCCTGCTGCGCTGCCCAGAACCCCACCCCAGCACCTGGCACCTTCCTGCCCTCTTTGCGTCATCTTTGGGTGTGTTCTCCCCACGTCCCACGACCCCTCTGAACTGCACAACTTGGTTGGCATTTTTTTCCTGGGCAGAGTTGCAAAGTTGGCTATCCGTGTATAGGGGGCGTCTCCCCAGCTGCCCCGTGGGCTCTAAGAGGGGTCACGTAAGACGTCCATCACAAGATAAATGGAGGGACTGCAATGAGCCCGCACATGCCCCTGGCCTCTCGCTGCTTCTGTGTGCCCCCTGGTCCCCGCCGTCCCCGTCGTCAGGTGATCTCACCTGTCAGCGCTGCGGTATGGCCGGCCTGGAAGATAAGGCCTCGTGCCTGAGCCGCACCCAGTACTGCCTCCCAATTCAAACCAGCAGCGATGTCTTCATAGCACCAAATAGCTAGTCAGTGTTCGGATTTCTCAGTTGTCATAATTTTCTTCGCAACTGCTTTTTTTGAATTGGGATACAAGGAGGTCCATTGCTTGGGCAGATATATCTGTTAAGCCCCTTCTATTTTTTTATTTTTATTGTTTAAAATTTGTATTTATTGTTTTGAGAGATTTGTGGTTTCATTGATTGACACACTCATTGGTTGCTTCTTCTATGTGCCCTGACTGAGGATCGAACCCGCAGCCTTGGTGTATCGGGACGACGCTCCAACCCCCTGAGCCACCCGGCCAGGCCTTGCCTTTGATCTACGGATGGTTTCTTTGCTCGTCCTTGCAGTTATTAATTTATTTATCGTAGAAACTAGTTCACGGCTGTCAGTCTTGCGCTGCATTTTGCCGACTGCCTCCTGGGAAAACATGCAGCTCGTATTCACTGAGAACCAGGGTCTCGTCCAGAAGCTTGGCCGACTGCGGTCAGTGTTTAGCGAGAAGGCTTCAGAGACGGCAATGTCCTTCTGTGAGGGGGACGCTTTCCTCCGTGTCCCATGTTACCGTGCCAACCGTGCGGGCCACTCGGCCTGCTGGTCAGACTTCACCTTGACGGCGGGGAAGGCGCTCGGTCCCCCAGCAAGGTGAGCTGCACCTGTGCTTCCCAGAACAGGCCCAACAGTCTCAGAGGCTCACTTGCCTGGCGGTGATCAGTGCCCGACCCCGTGGCTGGGAGCCTTAGGGAGCCAGCCACTGTCTCTCGTCCTTCGTGTCCCCAGGCCAGCCTGTGCGGAGGGAGTGAGCGAGGTTCTTCCACATAAAGGGCCCCGTTGGCTTCACACCAACCTTAAAAGACGGTGCTGTTGCCGGCTGCCATGGCTCAGTGGATGGAGCGTCACCCATGAACTGAGAGGCCCCAGTTCGATTCCCAGTCAGGGCACATACCTGGATTTCGGGCTCGATCCCCAGTAGGGGGCGTGCAGGAGGCGGTCAATCGACGTTTCTCACTTCGATGTTTCTGTCTCTTTCTCCCTTCCCCTTTCTCTAAAAAAAATCAATGAAAACATTTTTTTTTAAAAACCAGTGCTGTTTCCCCTCATTTTCCTGACGAGAGAATGGCGGCCCCAAAGTTAGATCACTCAAGGCCGAGTTGCAGTTTTTAAGAGCCAACTGTCCAAAGTATAGATTCAAACACAATTCAGTAATTGGTCCTGGACACGAATGTCTTAAATTGCCATTCAGCTCCAAATTCTAGCTTCCTCTAACTATTCATTGTACGCAAAGTTTACGTGGAGCCTGTCGGGGGAGCAGAGGCGCAGATAAGATCGCTGGGGCAGGGGCTGAGCCAGGCAGGAGGGGTAAATATGTCTCCCTGACATGGTTAATGAAAATGGACAAGAACAGACCAACGTCTCCCTAACTGCAGTCCAGGGGCTTCCCAAGATGACCTCTCTGGCTCCTTTTGCTGCTGGGATTTAATGGCTGCTCCACAACAGCAGACTCCCAGGTCTTTTCCATTCCACACCGCTCCCTGGGAAGTGCTCATGCATCGGCATGGCCCCGGCCCTCGTGAGAAGTGCAGACAGAGTCGCCGGGCCCCAGCACAGACCCCCGTGAAGGCACAGGGCACGGCAGCCCTCTCCCCGGAACCCACTGTCCCCTTTAAAGTAGCTGCGAGGGAGGTGGCGGGGAGCCAGAAGGGCGGGCCGGAGGGCAGGTGGGTCCTGACTTCTCGGGGTGGCGAGGCCCTGGAGAGCCGGGCATCCTAGATGCCCCACGGGCTGCCCGCCAGGGCGGGAAGGGAGGAGCCAGTGAAAACCGCCATGTGACGTGCACGAGCCGTAACCTTCAGAGCTCGGCGTCAGACGGGACTCCAGGAGCACCCACCCCTGTGTGCTCCAGATGTAACCAACACGCAGGCCCCGGCTCACTGCGTGTGGCGAGTGCTCTTTCGGTAAAAGCTCAGGATGGAAAAGAGACTGTCTTCCCCCCTTTCTTCATCGCCTGCACCCTGTCGCCTTTCAAAGCCTTAAGGCTCACGAAATCCGCACCGGCTCCCAGCACAGCCCCCACACTGGCCTGACCACACAGAGCAGGCCGTGTTCAAGTGGGTAGTGTTGTCTGGCCCCTGAATGATGTGATAAATGTCCAGATGGCCCTGGGCAGGGAGACGGTTCCCCACCCCTGCGAGTAAAGCAGCACAAAACCCAGAGGCTCAGGGGAAGGAGGGCCGAGCAGAGATCAGAGGCCACCATGCGGTGTGGCAGAGCCCGACCGAGACATTGTCATGTCCAGCTGCCAGCTCCCAGCTCCAGATGTCGTCCTGGGCTGCCCAGGGGAGCGCTCCCCGCTAGACGGTTATTCTGTCATTTGACCCGCTCGCCGTGGGAGTTAGAGTCTGTGAACCATCACTCATTGTCCTTCTCACCAGTTATAAACATAATGAACGGTCACCATGCAAAACCCGAACACTAGACATGAAGACAGAAGAAGACAGTCGCCCGAGATGAGTACCACCAGTGCTGGCGTGGGTCCTGTCCCTGGGGTTCTCTGCGGTGGAGCCTCCGGCCGAGCAGGGCTGATGGGGGGCAGCCATCAGCTGCTGGCCCTCCCCTGTCCTGTCCCTTCAGTGGGCTTGCGGGGCCAGTTCCTCCTCCAGTGCCGGTCACCACGCAGACCAGTCCCACAAACGTGGCCACTCTTAGGTAACAAAAAGTCCTATGCCCACGTTTTCTATCTAAATGTTTAAACGGGTAAAACGCACACGGTTTGGCCCTGATCATAAATTGAGCTCCTAGCTGCAGGTGTGTGAACCGTGCCCACTGTCCGACCACTCTCACTGTGCTGAGGCTGTTTCTGTGCGTCGGGTCCAGAGGCCCTGCTGGTTCAGTCCCTTGGTTAACGTGGACGGACGTCGCCACTGCCTGGCTGACCATCCCCAGACGGTCTGTGCTCGTCTGGCATGTGCCCCCAGCACGCATCTGGGCTGCTCCCTTGTCATTCTCAGACACTGGAGCCTGCAGGCCCACGTCGCACAAACCTCACGGGCATCCTTCCGAGAGCGACGAGTGCCACGCGACGAGTGCCACGCCTGCCACCTGCCTGCCACCAGCCTGCCACCTCACTGCTGCCAGCACTGATTTGATACCTTTTGTTCTTAGCCTGACCGTTGTGCGTGATGGAGGGAGAGCTGGACGGAGGGCAGAACTCTCCAAGCACAAGGCAGGCAGCCGCTGGAGCAGCGCCGCGCCGCCCAGGAGGCCGTGCGGCACCTCTCATTTAGCCAGTGAGCGGAGCACCCCACTGAGCTGTCAGGCCCCAGCCCCTCGAGTTTGGAAGGAGAACACATTTTTCTGTGCTTGTGTTGTTTTCAGTGAAAACAGACTGGAAGCTGACATAGGATTATGCCTGTATCTCCTGGTTAGAGGCCCAGATGAGGACAGACTCAAATAATAAGCTCCTCGTGAATTTATCTGAATCGTTTGCAAATGCCTGAGAGTTGGTCTCCAGAAATTAAGTGAACTATATGCTCTCTAAACAAAGGAGCACAGTGAAGTCCTGGTGATGGTGATGGTGATGGAGGGGGTGGCGATGATGATGAAGATGAAGGTGATGATGATGATGGAAGTGGTGTTAACGGTGATGGTGGTGATGATGATGACAGTGGTGATGAAGATGATGGTGATGATAATGGAGATGGTGATAATGGTGAAGGTGATGGTGAGGATGGTGGTGATGATGAAGGTGATGATGGTGAGGATGGTGGTGATGGTGAGGAGGGTGGTGATGGTGAGGAGGGTGGTGATGGTGATGGTGATGATGGTGGTGATGGTGAGGAGGGTGGTGGTGATGGTGAGGATGATGGTGAGGATGGTGACGGTAACGATGGTAGTGGTCTTGATGGTGATGACAATGATGGTGTTTTCTCTGAGGTCCTACTCTCCATCCTCTTAATCGGGTCCATGAGTTTGGTCAGAGTTCCTCTACTGGCCTCATGTCCATCTCCACTTTGTAAAGACACTGAGCCATAGTTGTGGCCAGAGGGTCACGTGTGATTCAGCTTCAGCAAACATAACAAGCGTGAGCACTGCCCGTGCCTGTTGGTGGGGAGAGGGCTGCCACGTGAGGCTCTGGACACACCGCACAGTCCGTTTGCCTTTGTGTGTGTCCTCTAGGAGCACTTACCGCAAATCTCCTGAAGGACCCGAGACAGCACCAGATGGACATGGAGACACGGAGCCCCCCGGACCTCGACGAGGTGGCCCGGGTGATCGCTGACGCCGTGCACAGTGTGGGCACAGAGAAGGAACGGGGACCCTGGGGAGGAGCCGGAGGAGAGCCCGTGGAGCCGGCAGACAGCTCGGAAGCAGCGCTCCTCCAGGATGGGGACGTGGGCAGGGACAGTGTGCAAGGTGAGCCGCCCAGGTCCCGGCCGTCCACACTGCTGGATGGGGCGAGACCAGGCGCAGAGCAGTGGGCCGGCCTCCCAAGCGGTGGTGCAGCCTTCCTGCAGGGAAGACGGGGCTGGTCCTCACGCGTGTTGGATGAAGCTGCTGTCTGAGTCCTGCGCTGAGGGTCAGAGTCCGAGGAGAGCAGGACGGGTAGCAGCTGTCTGTCTGGATTCTGTGTGGGAGGGAACACAGTCAAATGCTTGACTAACTAAGGGAAAGGGGTTCATTTGAATGTCTGCCTGAGGTTCACATCCACCCTGCGAGGCTGCTCCAGGGAGACAACAGAGGTCCCCTGGCTCCCCCAACACATGCACACATACATACACGCACATGCACCAACACACATGCACATAGTGCACCTTCACGTGCATGCACACATAGTGACATGCACACACAGACATGCACACACACACACATGGCTGCCGGACCCTTGGGTGGGCGTGGGCTCCCCAAGGACTGGCCTCCTCTGAGCCTGGTTGCTCCTCAGAGGCGTCGGAGCTGCACTGAGGCATGTAGCTTGGTGCTGGCACAGCAGGCGCACGAGCTTGTGCCGCTGGGCGGGCTGGCCCGGAAGCAGGCACGTGGCTCGGCTGAAAGATCGAAAAGGCACCGGAACTCCAGCAGGACAAGGCGTGGGCGAGGCAGCCGGCGATCGACACCCACACTGAGGGCTGAGAGGCTCTTCAGGGGTGGGAGCGTCTGGCCCGCGGGCCACATGAAGCCCATGAAATCCACACCAGGCCCCATCACAGCCTCACCAAACAGCAGGCTAACGTTTAAGTGGATAATTCCGTATGGCCCCAAACAGTGTCCTAAATATCCAAATGGCCCTGAGCAGAAGCAAGGTCCCCAGCCCCGGAAGGTGCCTGGGTTGGGTCACTGTGGTTTCAGGAGGGTGTGGGCCTTGTGAGTCTAGGGCATCATGGGAAGGAGGCCGGTTTAGAGAAGTGTCCACAGCAAAGACACAGCCTGTCAATGCCTTGAGGAGACACCTTAACGTGAGACTGTCGGGTCAGATGCTTAACTTTCCTGTTTCACACCCACTGGCTTCCCTGGCACGGCGGCTGCTTCCTGTGAGCTGGTGCTCAGAGAACACGCAGTGCCATGGACCGGCGTGTGCTTGACGACTAACGTCATGTTTGCCATGTAGCCGGAGCCCCCTCTTCCGTGCAGTGTAAGGGTGTGAGCAGGACAGGGGACTTTGTGGCATCGTGTAGACAAGGGCACTGGGTACCGCCGACCTGACCACACCTCGCAGCGACCTTCTCCACAAGGCCTGACCACGCTCCTGTCTTCCACAGGGAGCAGCCTGCGGGACGGCGGTGCTCCAGGGCTCGGCGAGGTAAGTGTGCGTCTCTGCCGGCGGCTCGCGCTCAGCCTGGGACTGTGCTGTCTGCGTTTTGTCCATGGCTGGGAATGTTCGTGAAATTAGCTGGGTTTTTTTTTTTTCTAGAAAGGATGGAAAAACCCTCACAATCTTAATATTGAGAAACGTGTAAACAGCACAGCCAAAATTGTGTATATTTAGATACGTACTAATATCTATTTTCAGATTTTATAGTAATATTGGTCGATTGTAGAAATATGAAAAAATGGTCACCACAAAGAGGAAAATTAACATTCCCTAGTTTCCTTAGCCAGGGCTGTGGATGATAACACGATACCACCGTATCCTACGTGAGACGGTCCCGTGCGCTGGTCTCAGAGGTTTGTTTAACAGGGAGGTTGACAGGCTCTGATCATGACATCGGTACCACTCTGCGTGGCAGCCACGAGCCACGAGCCACATGTGGCTGCGGGAACTTAAGCTCATTGAAACTAAACAAATAAATTCCATTTCTCAGCTGTGCTCACCACATTGCAAGTGGCCCTGAGTGACGTTGGGCTGCGTGGCTCAGACACAGGGCATCCCTGTCATGAGAGGCTGCGTGGGCAGGCCGGGCGAGAAGGCCGTCTGAGGAAGGCTCCCACAGACAACACCTGCTCACTGAGCAGCTGCTGGTTTTCCTAAGGGCCTCTGCTCATTAGCACCCGTCTTAAGGGCACAGAAAGTGTGTTCTTAATCGATGACAGTGACCTCGCGTGGCTTCACGAAACAACTGCAGCGTGGGAAACCGTGGCTAGTGCTTCTCCGGCCAGTTTGGGTGGTTTTGATTCGATGCCTGTTAGCAGGTAGAATCAGCCATTCTTTTAAATGTCCATCAGAAATGGCGAGCCCCGGCCTGGTGGCTCAGTTGGTTGGAGCATTGTCTCATACGCCAAAAGGCTGTGGGTTTGATTCCTGGTCAGGGCGCATACCCAGGTTTTGGGTTTGATCTCCAGTCAGGGAGTGTACAGGAGACAACCGATGGATGTTTCTCTCTCACACTGATCGATCTCTCTCTCTCTCTCCTCCTTCCTCTCCCTCTAAAATCAATAAAAGCACACCCTGGCTGGTTTGGCTCAGCGGTTAGAGCATTGGTCCGCAGACCAAAGAGTGGCGGGTTCAATTCCAGTCAAGGGCACGTATCTTGGTTGCGGCTTGTCCCCGGCCCTGATCGGGGTCATGCGGGAGGCAACAAGTCAATGTGCCCCTCTCACGTCGATGTTTCTCTCTCTCTCTCCCTCCCACTCTGTCTGAACAAAAAATGTCCTCAGGTGAGGATTAAAAATAAATAAATGAAAAATAAAAGCCATGCCTTCGCCAGCTCCTCCTTTAGTGGCCTGTGGTCACCCTCGTGGCCTCGTCACAAATGTCCCTTTGCTGTGAGTCGACAGTCTCTCCTCCATGTCCTCTCATGTGCGTTTCCTTTCCACCAGCTCAGCCCTGTGAGCCTCCAACTTGGGGATGCCCTTCAGGATCCTGGGTCTCGACTCCCAGCTGCAGGCCCACCTCCTGTGGAGAGCAAGAAGTCGGGGGACCCCGAGGCCTCCTTGTCCTCGGAGGAGGACACTGCCGGGGTGGAGAACGTGAAGAGTCAGACCTACTCCAAAGAGCTGTTGACAAGGCCGCCACACGTGGAGCCCAGGGTCGACGGGTTCGGGGAGCTCCCACACTGGGTCCCCAGACCGCAGCAGGAGGACCTGCGCCTGGGAACAGGAGCTGAGGGACACCCCGTCAACGGTCTGCGACTGGAAGTCAAGTCTCCTGAGGAGGAGTACGGCTACATCGTGACAGAAAATGAGTGAGTAGGAGCCCTGGTCTGCCCCTGGGGCCCATGGTCCTGGCGCCTCGCCGCGTGGGGAAGCCTCAGGCATGGAGGGCAGCCGACCTGCGGCCCGGGAAACCCAAGCTCGAGGGCGACTCTCCGCAGCCTTGGCCTTGTCACCTGCTGGTTAGGCCAGGGGCCTGTTGGGGGCACTGTCTTTGGGTGGGGCTGGCGGGGGCCCTGGGAGAAGGAGGCCTGGGCTGTGGGAGGTGCCCAGGAGTGGCGAGCAGGGTCTGCCTTGGGTGCTGACTGCGTGCCTGTTAGAAGGCCCAACTCATTTCCTCTTCCCACCAAAGTCGTCCGGGTACCAAGACACAACCCTCCTTCCAGGCAGGTCAGGTTTCTCCTGCGCTCATTCTGACCAGAGCTTCACAAGGCCCCACGTTCAGGCACCGTGCACCCAGCTAACGACAGTGTCAGCCCCTTTTCCGGTCATCTCAGTGATCAACCTGACACATGACGCTAAGCTTTGTAAACAGGTTGTTTCTTCAAGTGATGACAGGTGTTTCAGAGAGAAAAATATCTGTGTGGCTGCATATGAAGATGTGTGTATGTGTGTATGTGTGTGCAGGTGTGTGCACATGTGCGTGTAGGTGTACATGCAGGTGTGTGCAGGTGTGAGCACGTGTGCAGGTGTGTGTGCACGTGTGCAGGTGTGTGCAGGTGTGAGCACGTGTGCAGGTGTGTGTCCATGTATAAAACCTCACCTTGCCTCCTGCTGTCCACCCGTCCAGGTGTTTCTGCATCTGGTTGGGGCTGGTCATGTTTCAGGATCGTTCTTAGTGGGGGGGCTGCCCCGGCATGGGGCTCCCTCTGATCCTGCCAGCTCTCCTGGGCTAATAGCTCCCCTCCAAACCCAGTGGCTGCTGCTGGGAGAGCAGGTTTCATCAGTGAGAATTGGTGTAGCTGTGAGCACCGACCACAGGGTGAGTCAGAGTCCAGGACTGTCCAGCTGTCCACAACATTCCCCCTGTTCCAGGGGCTCCTCAGCGGCTGACAGCTCGAGCTGGCCCAGAGCAGTGTGTGTCCTCCAGGAGACTGCTCAGTTGTGCCGGCCCTTCCCCCCCACTCCCCCTGGCCGGCCTCTCCATGGGGCCTCTCTGTGCTCCTCTCCTTTCCTGGGGGGCTTCAGATCCCGCTACCCAGAGACAGGCAAATGGGAACCTGAGGGGTCCCCGCCGAGGGCAGGGCTGTGCCCTGTGAGAGCCACGGGGCCACGTGAGGCAGGACCTTCTCACAGCCCAGTCCTTCCTCTGAACTGCCGAACCCCCTGTGTGGGCTCCCTCTGCCCCAGGAGACACTGCCGAGCAGTGTGTGTGCATCCCTGCAGCATGTGCCATGGCTGTGCGTTGTGTGTACATGTGTAGTATGTGTTGATGTGTACTGTGTTTATGTGTGCCATGTGTATATATGCCGTGTGTTTGTGCATACGGTGCAAATTTGTGTGTGCATGTGTGTGGTGTGTTTATGTATAATATGTGCTATGTGTGACACATGTATTTATATCTCATGTGCCGTGTGTGCAGTGTGCACGCATGTGTGCTGTGTGTTTATGTGTACCGTATGTGTCATGTGTGTTTGTCATGTGTGTGCATGTGTCATGCGTGTTTGTGTGTAGTGTGTGCTACGGTCACGCTGCGTGCATGTGTGGTGTGTGTTTATTGTACCGTATGCACATGTCACATGTGTGTGTGCTATGTGCACGCGTGTGCATGGGCATGGTGTGTGTTTGTGTGTACTGTGTGTGTTGTTTGTGATCACTGATGAGACTCTACTGCACAGCTGCTCTGGGAAACTCTCATCCCACCAGGAGGTCTGTGCCCTCCTGTCCTGACACCCAGGGCAGGTTCAAGGCATGAGGTGACTTCTGGCAGGGAGACACCACTGTGGCTGGTCAGCGCCCTTAGTGCGGAAGTGGGCACCAGGGCCTTGCTTCGCTGCAGGGAGGTGGCAGCTCAGTGGGCACCAGTGCTGTGCTGCAGAGACCCCTCTAGGCCGCTCTCCTCCTGCCTGGCCGGCTCCCCGCAGAGAAGCACCTTTACGAGGGAGGGCTTTTCTCTGCATTCAGTCTATTTTCCTGTGGTGCACCCTGGGCATCACCTCGGGACTTGAACACAGCACTCTGAGCATGAGTTAAAGCAAAAAGTCATTCTCGTAGCCTGGCTGGTCCCACCCTTCTCTGCTGCTTCTGGAGGGAAAATGTACATGGTGCAGGTAGCTCAGCTCCACCCATAATGCTCACCATCTGTCACCAGGCACAAACATGAGAGTTCCTGCCTCCTCCCCCCATCGACAGAGATGGGGATGGCAGCTTCTGACTCTGTATCAGATTCATTGGTTATCTGGGATTCTTTGGGGCGAGATGCACCAGGTCTCAGCTTAAGTCTTCATAGATCAGCTATTAATTCACAAGAATCTCATTCTATTCTTTAAAAAAAAAAAAGGCTTTTGTGTATATGGTTGTCCCGTGGAAGGAGAAGGGACGTGACTGCCGACTCAGGGTTATCTTGTCCTCGCCCCGCATGCGCTCGTCGCTGTGCAGAGGGGCGGGCCGTGTGGCTCAGCTCTGCTGCACCCCCTCTCCCTTTCTGAGGGATGGTGCACTTCGGTCTCCACCGTTCGCCCTTCATCCTCTTCACCAGCCAGACGGGTTACCCGGGACGGGATGAAGGACAGGACAGCCACCCCCCATCTCCAAGGACGATTTAGAAATTATTTCCGGTGAAGTGGACGGGAAAGGATCATGGGCTGGGAGGCGAATTTGAAGCGAACAGCCGTTGACCTCTCAGCAAAGAAGAAACGCCTTTGACGTCTGAAATCAGGGCTCAGACGCCCTTCCATCTCGTCAAGGTTGGGTCTAGGCACGCACACAGCAGCTGCCGGGCTCCCCACAGTCCTGAAAGCCCAGTCGCGGCGGTCACCTAATGGGGACATTCAGCTTTGAGGTTTTTGAGGGACTTTACTAGCCACATGACCTCAAGCAGAGACTTTAATTTCTCCAGTCTGTTTCCGTCCTGTGAAATGAGGTCCACAGCCCACCTTCCTCACAGGAGCGCCGTGAGCATGAAGCGAGACCACGTGCAGAGTCTCAGCGTGACGGGAATCTCAAGGGAACCTGCAGGGGTGCTGGCTACTCGGTATTTCTGATCCCGCAGTATTCCCACTTGTCTGTTTTAAGGGTGGCATTCCACCGCTCCTTCATCACCGAACATGCTCACTGTCCCTCATGGTCCCCCATTTCCCACTCAGCGATGCCTCAGGGCCCGAGGAGGCCTGGTGCCGCCTGGGGCTGCGGCAGCTCCCACGGAACACGGCCGCTGCCACTTGCGTGTGAGCCTTCCGTCCGACGACCAGCGTCCTTTGTAGTTTCCGTCCTGCTCAGCCGGCAGACCCCTCGAAGCGTCCTGTTCACAGCGAGTCAACAGTGGGATTCACGTGAGGCTGTGCTTCAGGACGGAGGTGCACGGAGAGGAGACGGCCCAGCCTCTGGAAATCCTGCCAGTGACGCCGGCGGCGTGAGGTGCCCCCTCCCCCGCTCTGACCCCGCTGCGGAGTTCTCCAGTCTCCCTTCCACGAGTGTTGGGCATCCAGCTGACCGGGTGACAGCACTGCAGTCAGACTGGTGAAGGCAGGCGCTGTATCCGTCCGCTGATTTTGAGATTAACTCCAGCCACTTCCTCGGGAAGTTCAGGCCACAAAATGACAGATGATGGCCATGTGTTTTAGAAATAAAATGGAAATAACTGCATGCTCATTTTCAGCGCCAGGAGCACCATCTATTTGTCTGGCTTTCTGCCTGGAGCCCTGACAGCCCAGCGGTGCGGTGGGGGGGCCAGGCATGCCCTGTGGCCCAGGTGTAACCGGTGTTTCCCCTGCGAGGCAGCCAGGTGCATAACAACGTTCTGAGCTGCTGAACCTCATCATGCTCCTCCAGGCTGCCTTCAGTAATCGCGTCAGGAGCGGAATGTCACATTTCTGTGTTGTGGGTGAAGGAATGCGGGTAGGAGATGTTCAGGGGCTGACGGTGGCTGGGGCTCAGGAGAGAGCCTTCGATGCCCAGCTCAGTGGATTCCCCCTGCGGGTTCACAACACACTAGAGAACGGACTTCGTGGACTCTGGTGACAAGCCGGGTTGGAAGTTGCTAGGTGCTCAGTGTGGGGCTGTGGGCTTTGGAGGGACGACGGTAAGACATGGTTCATGTCCTCATCGGTCTGCAGTCTGTGAGGGAGACAGGATGGAAGCCCATGAAATAACTACAGACATTTAAAATAAGTGGTGAGCTGAGTGGTCTTGAATCCAGGTGTGAGAGATTAGGCAAAGGAGGGAGCCTCGCAGGCCCCTGTGGGTAGAAGGGTGGGGCCTGGTGGGTGGCCTGGATTTAGGGCGGAAGATCCAGACAGGTAGGGTCAGGACTGTGAACAGAACTCGGCCTGTGGGCCTGTGGGAGGGCTAAACCGAGGTGTCCCTGAGACTGGGAAGTGGGTGGTCCAGGTTGTGCCAATTCAAGAACGGATGTCGTCGCCATGACTACCACTGGTTTTAGGGCCAGCGCGCATCCTGGTGAGCATGATGGCATGTGTGCACGTGTGTGCATGCCGCTCTGTCACATGTACACGCCCCTGCCCACATGCAAGTCCCTCTTAGAGAGCCTGCGGGTGTGTGCCACCTGGGGAGCCTGTGGTGTCTATCCGACGCCTCCCTCCCTAGGCGTGTGAACAACTTCCCTTGTTCCTCCTCCGGCGGGGCCAGGACTCCAGCTGTGGTTCTGCTGCCAGAGCACAGGGTTGGCAGGGAGGCCACGAGGGAGGCCAGTAACACCTTGGAAGTCCCTGCCCATGTTCCTGTCATCACACCTGGCCACACACGTGTTCCTGTCATCACACCTTGACATACGTGCGTGTTCCTGTCTTCAGTTCAGTCTCGGGATCGCAGGTGGGGCCGGCACATCCTGGTTCTGACCAGGCCCTGAGCTGGGCCCGCCTGCACCTGCGGCAGAGGCACCAGGAGTCACACGAGCGGCAGGTCTTGTCCTGCGGTGGCCCCGACCCCTCCATCTCCATCTGAGGACTGCGGGACGGGGGACCTCTCGGGAGGTGGGGTGGCCCGTGGGCCATGCAGAGGTTCAGGGGAGATGTGAGGGTGCGGGCGGTGAGCAGGAGCCATGTGCACACACCGCTGGTCTCCACCTCTGCACCCGATTTCCAACCCGGGGTCAGCACCAGCCCCCCAGAGCCCTGCAGCCGGGGTCTCTGCCCTGCGCTGTGGGGCAGGCGTCTCCCACCGGGGCCCCTCTGCATGGAAAGGGCTGAGAAGCTCCTGGGGCCAGTGGCCCGGAGAGCCGGTCCCTGTGGCAGGAACACAGGGGGCGGCTGTCAGAGCCCCAGGCCGGGTGGGAAGGCAAGGGGCCCTCGGCTCCTCGGGCATTGACAGGTTAGTTCCCTGTGTGACTGCCCCTCTCTGGTCCTCCTACAGCCGCCTGAGCCTGGAGCAGGGGAAGGAGCTGCTGAAGGACATCGCTCGCCTGCTTGAGGTGCCAGCAGTTGCCGTCACAGACACCGAGTGAGTGTGGGCGCAGGGCTGGGGCTGTATTCTTGGCCACGCCAGGGCCCCTCCATAAGCGGTTTGCAGTATGCCCGTGGATACTGCTAATTACCCAGCGAGCGACTGTCTCAGGAAGAGTTGGAAGGGAAATCCAGTGGGGTTGGGAGTTATTTAAGCACAGCTGTAACCTGAGTGTAATTATAAGAATTATAATCAGCAAGCGCGGGGCCCACCGGGCAATAGTTCCCAGCCCCGCGGCTCCTAGAGTCAGCGGGAGGCTCTGGAATGTTCCGCTGCCCTTACCCCGCCCCACTGCCCTAGGGGTGGCTCTCACGGGCAAAGCCTCAGTCAGCACCTGCTGGGTCTGCTGGTGCAGGTCCTGCCATGTCTCCATGAGGGAAGAAGGGTGGGCGGGGCCGCGGCCCATGCTCATGAGGGCTGCCACGTCCTGCTGCTGTGTGTGGAGCGTTGAGGATGAGCCCCGCATCCCAGGGGTGGGAACTTCTGGCCCCCAGGCCATACAAGGCCCACATCACACGCCTCCCCAAATCGGCCTGACCAAATAGAGCAGGCTAATTGTTAAGTGGGTACTTTTGTATGGCCCACGAGTGACGTGATGAATATTCAAATGACCCTGGGCAGAGAAAAGGTCCCCAGCCCTGGAGGAGCGTGCGAGTGGGAGTCACCAAGTGCAGGCCCAGCCCCAAGGCCCCGCGGGCCTGTGCGTGGGCCGTGCTAACTGATGGTGGCAAGTGGCACTGAGGACTAGAAGTAGAGCCGAGCGAGCTCCCGTCAACGGGCACGTGGACACAGCATCCGTCGTGGCGTCCCTGTGGGACCCAGGGCAGGTGTTTGTTGAGCACCTGCTGTGACCTGGCCTTGTGCTAGGAGCTGGGGGTCCTGGGGAGCAGCACTGCCCTGCACAAATGCCTCACCACTTTCTGGGAAAGGCAGACATGAATGGGGAAGCACCTCGCCCAGCCCGGGGCTGGAAGCTTGCGGAAGGAAGCTGAAGGACAGGCAGCAGACAGTGCACCCCGCCCCGTGCCCTGTGCTCCGCATCCCGCGCCCGGCTCGGAGCTGGGGCCCATGCAGGGAGCATTCTGCAAGAAGAATCCACAGCTGGGCCCAGAGCCACAGTGAGCCGGGGAGCTGCCTGTGTGCACCTCACCTGGGCGCACACCTGTGCACGTGTGGGCTGTGCAGGTGAGGAGTGCTGAGCCAGGGAAGGAAGGCAGACTGTGCACACTCGGCGGGACCCCAGGAGAGGGACTGGGTCAGACTGGTGACGAGGTTCGGGCAGGACAGGAGCGGAGGGAGGAGGTTTGCAAGAATCCAGGTGTGACGGGGACGGGGACCTGACGCGAGGTGGCTGCAGTGGGCATGTGGGGGGCGCTGCCTGGATGCAGGGCACAGGGGAGGGCAGGACTGAGTCACAGCCTGCAGTGACCTGCCCACAGGCTCCTCCTCCACAGTGAGAACAGAGGTGGGGTGATCCCAGCCAGCAGCCCCGAGCCCCGGGCTGCCAGGCACTCCCCTCTCAGGTCTGGGCCGAGAGGACAATGGGAATGGGGACAGCGGTCCCAGCAGAGAAATGCTCCTTTAACCCTGGGTGGCCTCTTGCTCTGGCTGGGGGCTGGGCGTGCGGGGTGCGTCAGGGAGCCAGGGACTTAGGAGGGGAGACGGCTGGGAGCATCCTGACGGGTTCCGATTGCATGGACCCAGGAGGACTTCCAGGAGGCTCTGTCCAGGTGGCCAGGGTGGGTGTGGATGATGAGGTGTGTACCCCTAACGCCGTGGGCAGCAGAGCCCGTTTGTGGTGGGAATGGAGAGGAGAGGGGGTGTCTCTCCTCACATGCGTGCTCAGATGAAGCTGCAGTGGTCGCTGCTTTGGGTCCCCAGGGACGCAGTGTTTCCTGTCGGGGCTGTGCACAGAGTTGGCAGTGACCCTCACTTCCAAGACCCAAACGTGTTCCGATGCTTCCAGCATCTCAGCTCGTCTGTTCCCACGCTGCTGGGACCGACCCAGGTCAGGGAACCTGGTTTGGGTGCCATGTAGGTGGCCAGGGGAGTGACTTTCCCTTCAGGGTCTCGCTGTGTTGCTGTACGGCAGGGTGTTGACCTGGGGACCCTGAGGGTCTGTGCCAGCTGCACCCTCCTGAGAAGCTGTGACCGGGGCACGAGGCAGAGTCAGGTGCACGTTAAGCATCTGGGGACAGAGCAGACTCAGTACTGCCCAGGCGGGTGTGCGGGCGTCATTGCCCGTGAGGCGTCTCTCTAGTGTCCCTGCAGCCTTCCTCCCTCTCCTTCCTGGGCGGCGGGACTGAGGTTCACGAAAGGACTGCTGCTTTTGCCCGAATCTCCACTAGACAAGTCTCAGCCTTTTAGAGACTCAGAAAAGTGGCAGGACCATCAGCCACCAGGGCACTGGGAGGGGTGTGGGCCGGTGGGGCTTCCTATGGGAGGGGTTCTGGTGGGAGGGGCTCCAGGTACACACTAATTTAGGGCTAATTCCAGTGCCCAGCTGGCGGGCACTCCTCCCTCCGGCCACTTCCTCAGGTTAGCTCCTTGCTCCGGTCTCCGGAGCCAGGCAGAAGGGCCACCCCAGGAGAGCCCAAGCTTGCCAGCTGCGCGGTGGCCTCACCAGAGCTTCTGTGAAGCTCACTCACCAGCCCCTTCCCTGCTCAGGACCATGGTATCTCCTACTTCCCACAGAGCCAAACCTGACGTCACCACCCTCTCTTGAAGGCCCGGGAATCTGGTCCACAGCTCTTCTGCGAGCAGACACTTGGGAGGGTCCTTCCCCGGGGGCCTCCGGGCCGGGGTGTCCCCAGCCCCCCTGCTCTTAGCTGGGTTCGTGTTTCAGGGCTGAAGGCCGGGCTCTTGGAGCCGAAGTCTTCTCTGAAGCCCCCGCCACCCTGTCCTGTCCAGTTAACGTCTGTACTGTACCCCGGAGTCTTTCATTGTTGCCCGTGAGCACACACGCGTGTGCATGTGCATGCATGTGTGTGGGGTCAGCTTCGCCGCTCCTGGCCGTCCCTGCAGGTCCCGCGTCGCCCAGGACCGGCGCTGACGGCGCACGGATGGGCAGGGCGTCCCAGGGAGGGCGCACGAGGCCCCACGTGGCTCTCCGAGGAGCGTGTCTCTGTGCAGAGGGAGAGGCCCCCACGCGGCACTTTGAGAGATCGTCTGTGTTTTTATGGAAGTACTAGTTATGCCTAATATGCTTTGTTCATGGTTATGTAGCTGTCAAGTAAATTCCATTATTTCTTATTACATCATTAGAGACCATTAAAACGGCATTAGCATGCTGATGTAATTATACCAGCAGACGCACGGCGACCACAGTTATGACTTTATAATCTAATCACGGCTGTCCGCATGGCTGATGGATGCGGGGCTGCTCTGAGTGCTCCACGGGTGGGGGTGTGACCAGCCGCTCCAGAGCGAGGTGGGGACCCCCAGCACCCCGGATTGGCCCTGCAGCCAGGCTCCACTGAGGCCGGCTCAGACATCCTCCTTCTGCTATCAGTCTTCCGTGCTCTCTGATGGTTTAGTTTCCACCTGTGTGGTTTTCCGAGTTGATGAAGATACAATGTTGTGTTTCCCCGGACAGCGGTGGGAATTCTCGGCCCTGGCACCTGGTTAGTTCTGGGCACAGGGCGGGGCTGCCGCTCTGATCTCCACCTGGAAACTGTCTCCAGGCTGCTGAGGTGCCTCTGCATCTCCCCCTCCACTGTCCCACACCCTCACCCACCCCACACCTCCCCCACAAGTAGGACAATCTCTGGGAGCTTGGAGGCTTCCAGAGAGTGCGCCTTGGTTTCTCGGGGCAGAATTGTGATCATCTGCCTCCTCATCTGGTTGCCTGGTTTGAGAAGACAAATGAATCAGAAGCAGGAGGAAGGCTCAGACTGGCCTTTGGCCGCCTGGGTGGACCCCTGTGGCTTGCTCCGTAGCCTAAGTGATTACAAAGCCCTAGATAAGTTGGGGTGCATGCCAGGGCAGTGCAAATAACAGCGGCAGAGATCATGCTCAGGGTGCACGAACATCGCTCACAGTCAAGAGCCTCCAGGAGGGCATGGTGGATGGAACTGGCGCCCTGCTTAACACACTGCTGCCCCAGGCTCTGCCACCTGGCTGCACCTGCTTCAGGGCGTGCTCAGCAGCACCTCCAGGGTGGAGAAGGAAGGCCCTTGTTCCTGGAGTAGGAACACTGGCTATGCCCATGTGCTCACTGCCAGACCACGAGGCCCGCCCACACTGTCCTTGAGACACTGTGTGTCAGGGTGGCCCCTGCCTCAGTCCTGTCTTCAGACTGAGATGAGGTAGCCGACAGGCCCCATCCTGCAGTCACAAGTAACAGTTCTGTTTGCTGAAAGATGCCACCTCTCGCTCTCCGTCAATCCCTGTGCTTGCTCAGCGACGTCAGTATCTAAAGTAGTGACCAAGCCTCTGCGTGGAGAGATGACACGACCACTTAGGGCGGGAATCGGGGCACAGACTTCCTGAGCTTGTTCCCACCTGTGAGACGCAGGGGTCAGGCCACGGCACCAGCTGTGGACTCTCAGGAGGCCCCTGCTGGGTTCGGCACAGACAACCCAGTGCTCAGAAGCTCCCGTGTTCATTGCGATAGAAAGACACACGGACCCCATGTGAATTAGCTCCGAAGGCCACAAGGACCAGGGAAGAAGACCAACCACCGGATGCCCAGCGGCCGGAGCTGCCCAGCGGTGGACGGAGCTGCCTTGCTGCAGGGCTGCGGACCCTTGCCAGGTGCTTCCGTGGCCGTGGGCTAAGACCCCCCTGAGCACTCTCATGCGTGTTGTTCAGCCTCCTACAGTCTGGGCATTGGCACTTGGGGCCTGTGGGTCCACGCACTGCAGCTCCCGGGGGCCTACGGGCTGGACGGTTCCCACCTGGAGTGCCTCCCTGTGGACGCTGGAGAGGACACTCGTGCATTGGTGCTGAGACCGCAGAGCTGGTGGACAGGTGGGCGACCTTTCTGGGACTCTGGC